CAAAACCAACTTCAAAGCCAGGTCAGGTTGCTCAAGGCCATGTCCCGTTGAGTTTGTAGAGGGTTGGAGGTACCACCACCTCTCTCCGGGGTTAACGTGCCCTGAGGACTACTCCTCACGTTACGGTTCTCGGGTCACGCTCTCCTTTTGTGTCGGCCCTTCTGATTTTCCTCCCTGCGTGCTCGTTCTGTGCTCTCCCGCAGCCTGACCTACTTTCCGCCGTCTTTGATGCCTTTCTCAAGTTCCAGGTTATTGAAAAACTCGCGTTGGCCTCCTCCTTCCCTTCCCTCCTTCCCCTGCACGGCGATAACGTGGGCCGTTGCCCTTGATATTGTCTTTTTCTCCTGGTCTCTGAAGATTTCTGATGGTAGGCGGCACCGCAGGGAGGCCCAATGTCGGTTTTTAGCCTGAATTTGAGCTCTGTTTTCACCGCTGCTGAATTCTGGCCACAGGAGACGGTGTGAAATCTCTCAGCCAGGTCTTCCAGTGCAGGAATCGTGGAGCTGAGGATCCCTGGGGGCAGCACTCGAAGGCAGATGGCCACAATAACCTATTTCAGTTTTGGCAACCAAGGATAGAAATCATCCCTTTCCCTTTCCTAATGTTTTTGGGAGACCCTGGTTTGTAGCTGGAGGGGAAGGGGATGTTGCAGTGCGTGGAAAGCAGTGGAGAAAGAAACATCCTAGTTCTTGTCTTTCTCCTCTCCCCATTAAATCTCCGGGAGCTCCCGCGCCTGCCGCAGCGATTCCTCACAACCTCCTAGTCCTGACGTTGGGTTTTCTCCAGCTCCTTTAAGCCAAGGAGAGGTTTTAAGCCTTACCACCCCGGTTGAGAAAGAAGAGAGGAACTTTAAGGCGCGCTTCATTAGCAGCCTGTCCTCCTTGGCAGAGCCAGCAAAGGGAAACGCCGCGTTTCAAATGATTTGATAGCTCAAAAACGCAACAGAGAGCTGGCAAAACCCCTTTTGGCAAAGGAATCGGCTCGCAGCGAGCTCCGGCTGCCGTAGGTTGGCCAGCAAAGACGGATGCTTTCATCCTCACCCCAGACGGAGCCCGTGAGCAAGCCAGCGATCAGACAGTCCTGCCTGTCCTGGCATTTCCCGTACCCCTTGGTTGCCTTCGTTGGATTTTCTTCAGGAAGATTTGGCTTAAATTGGAGGAATGGGTTGCTCAGATCACAGCTGAGCGCTCTGCAGCTCGGAAGCAGCCACTGGCTGCTCCACGAGATCATCCCTCGAATCCGGGTTAAAGCAGCGGGTTTTCCAACCGGAGCCTTTTTCCAGGTGCGAGGGGGTTCTGGGTCACTACGAGGGGCTCTTCTCTCCCCTCTGCTGAGCGTGGTTTGTTGATAATTAGCGTGAGGCCGTTTCACGGGTGTTTGAGGACTCCTGAATCTCTGTGTTACCCCTGCAGATGTCACCTCAGCACCCAAAAGCTGCCAGGATGAGACCCTCCGTGTTGTCACTGCATGGAGACCGGAGCCCTTAGGCACCTCTGGTTACTCCTGTGGGGTTTGAAACTCCCTAAAAACATCAGGATTTGGCCCATCGTGGCTACTTTCACCTCACAGAAGCTTTTTTTTTAAGCTGCCTTGCGAGGCAAAAGTAGGAATCTGAACCTCCAGAGCTTCTCCACGCTGAAAAACAAAGTGTCCAGCGTGGGTCTGGTTTTGGTTTAGCTGTGGCTCTCCTGGGCCATCTCCTCTTCCCTCCACGGCCTCTCCTTGGTTCGGGTTTGTGCGCTCCGGGAACGGCAGGCGGGTTTACCGTGGCTTTTCCTGGTGTAATTACGGACCCGAATCGGCCGGCTTTGAACGTGTGGTTTCACCTCATAAGCCCAGAAACCCTAAGGAAAGGCTTGCGACGACATTAAGACTCTGCTTGTCCTTCCCCAGCGAGGTGAGGAGGAGGATGGGAATGAGCAGAACCTGTCCAAGGTAACGATCACGCGCCCCGTCTGTCTATATTTCTATTTTGGGCTCTGTAAATAACTTTTATTTACCCCAAATTTCCTTTTGTTACAGCCAGTTTCTTCATCCTGATGTGCTGGGAGCGGGTGGGGACGGTTCCGGTGAGGATCGGTCGCCTCCACTCACCGCCGAGGTTACTGGTCTGCGCTGGTTATGGTTGCTTTGCGATCCAGGTGGATTTTGTTTCCCAATCCGGGTGGATTTTGGTTTCCTACCCACGTTTCTAGCGCGTTCCCTTCTCCTCCTGCCGCGCTCTGGCAGCGTTTCCCTTTCCCGCTAGGACTCCTCGTTGCTGCTCTTCGCCTCGCGCCCGCGTCTCCCTTCGCTGGGCTCGTCCTCTCCTAACGCTTGCTGTAATTTTGGAATAGTTCTTGCCGAAAACCCAGGATCCTCAGCCCTTTCTGGTAGCGCTTGTCAGTCTGTTTAGGAGCGGGGCTCTCAGGGAGACTTTGCTGCCGTTGCGTCTGTCCCCTTTGGGTCTGAACCCTGTGTTCAGGATTTGTGACCCCTGCTTCGAGGGGGGGTGGCAGTGCCACGGGAGATGGTTGACATCCCCGTATCCCTCCTTTGGACAGCAAATGGCTTTTTTTTTTTTTGCTTTTTATTTGGGTGATTTGAATAGAAACCAGGGCCAGGGCTGTGGCAGAGAAGCCCCAGGGTTGCTTTTTCCCTCTTGGTAGGTGGCTGGGTGGTGTTTGACTGGGTGGTCCCGTCCTTTGGGT